ACTTACTACTTACTACTTACTACTTACTACTTACTACTACTACTACTACTACTACTACTACTACTACTACTACTACTACTACTACTACTACTACTACTACTACTACTACTACTTACTACTACTTACTACTACTTACTACTACTTACTACTACTTACTACTACTTACTACTACTTACTACTACTTACTACTACTTACTACTACTTACTACTACTTACTACTACTTACTACTACTTACTACTACTACCTACTACTACCTACTACTACTACTACTACTACTACTACTACTATTCCTACTATTCCTGCTCCTGCTTTGGGGGGTGGCTTTGCCACAAAACTCTACCCCGCAAAAGGCGAAAGTTTGGCGAAAGTTCAGCTCAAGATTGGCGAAAGTTCACCCTGCCACATCTGACCCCCAGCCCATTATGAATAAGTTTCGGTGACCGGCTACTTCAGTGATTCTTGCATTTTTGACTCTTGCTGACACCCAGGAGAAACAAAAGAGACGTACAGGGTGTCAACAGTTAAGTAGAAGACACATGCTGACAAACAGTGAAATTTCTATTTTGTGTTTGCCAGTAAAGAAGAAGCCATTGACGTGAACAAAACACAACATACATGGCACACATAAATACAACGTACTTCGGCGAAAGATAAAACGCAGGAAGGCGAAAGTTTGGCGAAAGTAAACGGATCCCGGATAAAGGAATTTAGATCAACTCCCATATACTATTCTCTCTTCTCCAGCCATCCAGAATTCCAAAGTTGGACCTTACTCACAAGCATCAAGTCTTCTTGAAATATCTTACATTGGAGACTGGAGACACGTAGAAACACCCCGGACAAACTGTCGCCCTGGTCCTTTGTGGGACCTCCATTCCGAGCCAGACCTTGGGGACTTATTTCCATGGAGATCCACTGCGTACCTTGAGACGTTTTGGGAACAGTGACAGTCCGGGCCATTGCGCCATGCATCCAGAGAGCTTGACCTGGTCAGTCCGGAGGTGTTGCCCACCGGTACGTACCCACCGCATACTCCAACCCACTGGGACGTGCCCGCGGTGGAAACCGGTCTTCGACGTCTGGCTGTCCCCTCCGACGACTCCAGGTCACAGGGAGAGGGCCCAAGACCGGCTGGGTGAGCATCAAAGTCTCTGGCAAGGACTTGCTCGTGAGGCGCGGCGACAGAACGTGGGTCTATTTTTCCTTCGAAAAGCCATGCTGGCAATCCGTCCAACTTCGGGTTTGGGTGTGGCGAGTGTGGGTGTGTACGTAGGGGGAAGATGAAGGGAAGAAAGCAATGATGCTCAAAGGCGTTCAACTCTGGGTAGAAATTGCCCGAATTCTGTGGTGAATTCGCTGTGGGTGGAGCTGCATGCTTGTTGCACCCCTTCACTTTTCAGCTTTTAGTATTGGGCCAGTTGAAGCTGAACACTCCTTCTCCAGCCGACATGATGCTTTTACTTCTTTTCATCGCTTTCTCCTGCTTGCGGTATTCCTCCCAATTAGACAAGCCTGGCTTGCGCCGACCATGTCTTTGTCAACGAGCGATCCTTCTCCAATTTTCCGCTCGGTCGTTGGGGCTGGAGCTCACCAGAGGCTTGAACCGGAGATCCCTTCAACCTGCGAGGCCGCCCGTTGAACGACGCAAACGGGACACGGCGGGACACGACGGAAACACCAGGACCGGCATTTTCTCCGTCGGGGGTGGTGCGACCGAAACCGCTTGGTTTCGTGAAATAACAGTGAGAACAAGCGGAAGATGAGATGATGCTGAGTTGGAAGATCTTTTCTTTGCAGTTTTTGCTGTTTTTCTTTGGGCCCCTGGCTCAGGAATTCCAGAGATGCATCGTCACATTGGGTTGCATGCTTTAATTATGTCGCTTTTCTTTAAGGCTCAAAGTGGGATTTTAGCTATCTTTCTTAAACTATCTTAAAGTTATTTTTAATTCAAGCGACAGTGGGGACAGATGCTGATCTGCAGCCGCTAACCACGTTTCATGCTAGCGGTCCTTCCCTTTGGCAGGGAAAAATCTAACCTTCTACCCGAGTTCACGTTCCGCAAAGTGGCTGCCGTGTGTGGCGCGATTTGAGCACAATTTGGAGCGGGTTTGTTTTCATGCCATGCTGCTTGGTGGATGTGACAGCGTGTTGTGACCAAAGAAGTTGACGCGAGAAGTTGCAGATCAGGGTGATTTGACTGATCCATTCAGCAGGATTCTCCTCGGTTCCTACAAAGTAGTCTTTCTGCAGGATGATGTCACTTGCCTTTGCAAGAAGGCAACAGCTGCTCAATGGCAGTGCTCGGACGTGGCAGTGCTCGAACAGTTGATGGCACTACCAAGCGCCACCCACATCCGTTCTTTCACGAACATTGGGGGGGATCTTAAAGCAGGTTACTCCAGAGAACTGAGTGATTAAACACACATCGAGACTACAATTCCTTGGATGTGTGATCACACTTATGGCACTTGTGGGACAAAGGTGGAGCTGGCTGTTTGGCACAGCTGTGCCATTCCGTTTATAGCTATGAGCCTGAATCCCGGTCCATCCACCTCAAGATCTCCGTTCTTCGAGTTCGAATGGCGAACCCATCCTGTGCTTTGCCTTTGCGTCTTGGGTCAGAATTCTTCAGCGGCTGAGGATATCACCCCCTGAAGATCTCGGGTCTGTTTGCAGCGGCACCAAGGTGCCCACTGTCCACCCGGTTCCTTTCGGGTCATGCCGGTGAAGCGACATGGGCGATTTCGCTGCCGGACGGGGTGTCAGGCTGACCGACCGGTGCAGATCGACCCCCGGGCAGAATGGCCAGGTGATCCGCCAAACCGGGCGGATCGTTCGGCAGGTCGGCTCCACGGTGCAGCTGTGAAAGAGCGCCGATGCGATCCACCGACACGTTCGACCCACACGGCCCGGCGATGAGGCGACCTCGGAGAATGAGGAGCCACCTGAGCTGGTGGTCCGGGAACTTATATTATAGCGAAACAGGATTTGGGGGCTGGGATTTTTGGGATCCAGAAGAGGGAGAATCTGTGGAATTCTGTGGATGTGTTTGATTTTGCGTTCAATCTTTGCACGTGACAGATCTCATCAGATCTCCAACAGGTAAACCTTGGGGGGGGTGATGGCATGTGGAAGGAGAGTCCTTACTGGAACGAAACCTGACCCTGGCAATTTGAGTCTGAGAGGTGATTCAGGTCGCATGAGCCCCCTGCAAGAGGAGAGATAGTCATGCGGGGAACATCACCACCAAGGGTGCCAGAATTCAATTTGGTGGAGAAACATGTCCCCGAATTCCCCCACGTCCCCCCCATCACCTACTGTACATTTCAATTGTTGCCGGTTGCTCTAAGATAATGAATGTGCGTCAAACACAGAATTGGCGCAGGTTCAATAAAGAAAGCAGTCCAACCAGCATCCCCACAGGCCTTTTGTGGTGTTGGGTGTGCCGTGAGATTTGCACTTGGGGTTCGAAAGGATGCTACATATCTCGAACCTGTGGGAGTGCTGAGGTGCCCTGCCGCACACTGGCATGCACACAAGAGACGGCCTACATGGGTTCTCTGAACAAAAATACATTACTATATAATATGCATGTCCGAGCGTCTCCACTGCCACTTGTTTGGTGTTTGGACCGTGCTGAAGATGCTGAGTCAAGTAGGTTCCACCATGTTCCACCTAGGTACATTGGTACATCAAGAGTATACTATTACTATTCAGTAGCCTTGTGCATTCACCTGGCAGGGATTCAGCTCTTAGTACAAATCTGCCGAGGCACAGGACGACGACGATGAAGAGGTTCTGTCAGTGGAGAGTGAGGAGCATACCTCGAAGGAGCAGTCGCGACGGTTGGGCACCATGACTAGGGTAGGTCAGAGGAAGTTGGCCACCAAACTCTCTTTAGCGAGAGAAAGGAGGATATGCCCTTAAGAAGTCTGACATGCGGCCACTTCAATGGAGGCTTTAAGCTATAATTCATGGATCATTCATGATAATTCTTTGCACCTTCATTTCTGGCTCGAGAGGATAGAAATCGGTCGAACACCACTGTTTCTTTTGTTTGCGCAAAAGTTCTCCGGCAATTTTCCGTGCTTAGAAGTGGACACCCCAAAAAAGCATCCCAAAACCCGGCTGGATCTGCCTGCACTTCTTCCTGTGGTTAAGATGGGCGTCCCGCCCGGCGGGAGGGCCGATCTTCCCCACTGAAGCGTAGCTTCAGGAGGTAGAAGCCGTGAGGTCGGAGAGGGAGATGGAAAGCCACGGCTGGAGGACCCGGCGGTGGAGGTGGAGGTGCATGTGTAGACGCCCGACGAGCGAACGAACGACGTAGACGGACGCTTTCAGTCGAGGAACAGAAGTCTTCGAGGTTCGGCATCGGACCTGCAGCCTGCACGTATCTTTCCCACTCAGTTTTGCTGAAGAATCACAGTCTTGACATATCTGATTCAGACAAATTTTACTTAAACCTGTTGTATTTCAGTACCCCTGTGTGCTTCAGTCTTCGCGAAATCGACACTGACGGTGGCACCTGTGACCTTCGTTTTTTTTCTTAAACGAAGGGTCACAGCGTGACGTTGTTGTTCCACTGGACTAGGCATATCGTAAATATGACACAAATCACTCGTCTTGGGGGGGCGGGCCGGGGGGGGCGGGCCTTGGTCGTTTTCCGCTCCGCTACGCTCCGCCGGCCGTGCCCGAGGTCGAAGCGCCGTTCCCTTTGAAGTGCCGGATCGGGTGAGAGGTGGATCGGGTGAGAGATGCGAGCCAATTCAGGGTTTGGTCAGGGTGGAGCAGGAATGGAACAACCCAGCAGTCTTGGAGCAGTTGGAACACAACTGAAAACTGTTTCCTTCACTGTACATGTGATTCTTTCTGGGTCCACCAGGCATACAGCTGTTCAATCGATGCAGAACACTACCTACATGAGAGACATTGCCTACCAAAACTTCAGGGATTCCGGGGAATCTCAATGAGCCTTCTGGTTGAAGCTCCATCACAAAACCTCAAATAATCCAAAATAGTTCTAGTTCCCGTCCCACCAAACAATCCCAAATAGTTCTATCCCTTTGCGTCACACGTTGTATCTCCCCAGAGACTCTTGAGAAGTCATCAGCTACACACGTTCTTTGTGGTCCAAGTCTTCGTAATGAGCAGACGGGACTCTTTGCCGCCCTGCGGTCTTTTTGGAGAAGTACCAGGGAGGACCTGATGGACAGTAGTGTTGTGATGGAGCCAACGGCGGTGAAGCCACGAAATTGTGAGATATGGTTTCATATGGTTTCATAGCACAAGGTCCACTCTTTTCCTTTAGATGGGGGTCTGTCTAGAATTGTGCCAGGTCTCCGCTCTGGATTCCACAAAAGTCACAGATTCTAGATGAAACATGAAGTGGCAGAAACCTGAGCGAGCGACTCACTTCTTCCGAACCGTGCTCACTTCTTCCGAACGTGCCGAGCGAGTTCGCTTGAGTGCCATGGCTAGGACCAGGGCCAGGTCTCACCCTGGGGAGGTCCGGGGTCGTTGCAGGTGACGCTTCAGGTCGGACCCGCCACGGTGCAAAGCAACGGGGTCGGACCCGCCACCGCCCGCATGTCTGCCAACGTTGCAGGAGCTCAAAACGGGAACGATGGACGGCCACTTGGAGGTTTAAGTGGGGAAGAGCTGGACGGCGCCGGGAGGTAACAGTCACGGTCATAGTGGCACGAAGGGAAAGTCTCTGAATCTAAGAACGTGTTCAGAGGCATCCCGCAGGCGGCAGGCTCTTACACTCTTTTAAAAACCACCATGTGCCCAGGTGGCAGTTGGATTTGGTGTTTTCCGGGTGTTGGGGAGACTAGAGTTTTGCTGGTAGACTGTTTTCAGCCATCAAGAGACAGACACATTTGCACAGCAAGCATTTTACCCAGGAAATACATTACCTGGCTAGCAGAGCTATCACTCAGCTATCGTCTCCACACCCCAAGCAGATGGCAATTGCAACAACTTGTGCCCATGTTGTTCTATTTGGAAGGCCAACATTTTGAGACACATCCATTTTTGCAGCCGTTCCTTTCAAGGTTCTCATTGCAGCGGGGAAGACTCAGCAAGGAGTGGTTGAAGAAGGCGCGGTGTCTGTCGATTGTCCTTCCTTCCTCAAAGTGATTGGTGGAAGACAAGTAGCAAGAAGCTACTAGTAGCTCCTGGTAATACTAGGAACAAGAAGCTACTAGTAGCTAGAAGCTACTAGGTGGAGGCCATCGCTATTAGGTTGGAGACCATCACTACTAAAAACAAGAAGCTCCCAAGAACAAGAAGCTACAAGTAGCTAGAAGCTACTAGGTGGAGGCAATCGCTATTTGGTTGGAGGCCATCGCTACTAGTAACAAGAAGCTAATAGTAACAAGAACTTACTAGGAACAACAAGCTACCAGTAGCTAGAAGCTACTAGGTGGAGGCCATCGCTACTAGGTTGGAGGCCGTTGCTACTAGGAACAAGAACCTACCAGGAACAAACAGCTACTAGGAACAAGAAGCTACTAGGAACAAACAGCTACTAGGAACAAGAAGCTACTAGGAACAAGAAGCTACTCGGAACAAGATGCTACTAGGAACAAGAAGCTACTAGGAACAAGAAGCTACTAGGAACAAGAAGC